ATATGGTCATTAATGAACTCATCAGCAAATTAAATGACAATCACTTCTATACAGTAGGTTATGCTGATGACCTGACAATACTGGTCTCTGGAAAGACAGCAAGCATAGTGTGCGACCTGACCCAAGCGGCTCTCCGTATAGTGGAGAGATGGTGCAGGGAACACGACTTAACCGTCAATCCAAATAAAACGGTTTTAGTTATGTTCACACAAAAACGAAAGCTGAATAACTATCATCCTCCAAGTCTTTTTAGCACAAAACTCCAGCTATCCTCTGAGGTAAAATATTTAGGTCTTACCTTGGACAGCAAACTTAACTGGAATAAACACATAGAAAACAAAATCAACAAAGCTAGTATAACTTTCTGGCAATGCAGAAACATGATTGGCAAAAGATGGGGATTGACGCCAAAAATCATACTGTGGCTTTACAAAACTGTAATTCGGCCCATGATCAAACACATACGGCGCTCTGGTATGGTGGACCAAGACAAATGAAGCCACCATAATTAAAAAGCTTCAGCGCTACCAGAGACTGGCATGTATGGCTGCCACAGGCTGCATGAGAACTACGCCAACAGCAGCCTTAGAAGCGATGCTGGAGCTAACTCCGCTTCATCTACATATACAACAAGAAGCGACTTTAGCTGCCATCAGACTCAAGACCCTAAATCTTTGGAGTAAGAATAGTGTCCCTCATACAGGCATAATTGATAGAATTCACTCAAAAATTCCTATCCTACAAGCCAAATACGATAGGATTCCTAAACAATTTGTTTTCGATAAGAAATACAAGATACAGTTAAATGAAAACAGCCAGCCGGAAGGATTAAGCCCAAAAGAGCTTAGAATTTTCACCGATGGTTCTAAAACAAAAGAAGGTGTAGGTTCTGGAGCTTTCTCTGAAGACCTCAATATTCACATATGCACACCGCTGGGTACCTATAACACGGTCTTTCAGGCGGAATGTATGGGTATCATTCAAGCGGCCATAGCAATAGATGCTAGGAAGGTTAATGACTTCCCCATCAGAATACTGACCGACAGTAGGGCGGTACTCCAAGCCCTGAGATGCAATGTGGTGAACTCGGGACTAATATATGAATGCCATCAACGATTAAATGAGGTATGTAAAAACAACAATGTGACCCTGCAATGGATAAAGGGACACAGTGGATCCAGAGGCAACGATGCAGCAGACGAACTGGCTAGAAGAGGATCGGCTTTGGCCACTATAGGGCCGGAACCAATCATACCAATCCCCTTTGGTAACGTTTGTTCACTGGTACGTAGACACTTCACGAATGAACACGCTCAGCTTTGGAAAAATCTAGTAGACTGTAGACAAGCTAGGGATGCCCTGCCTGAAATTAACAGTCGCTTAACAAAAGTTTTAATGAGACTGAACAAGCCGCAGATTAGGATAGTAACAAGTGCTATCACAGGACACGGCACCTTTAACAAACATTTATTTACTATAGGTGTTACAGATAGTCCCCTGTGCAGGGCATGTATGGGGGAGGAAGAAACGGCGGCCCAAGTGCTACTGAAATGTCCGGAGGTCGCTACATACAGGGCTAAACATCTCGGCACGCCGGGATCACTCCCCGAAGTTGCATGCAACATCAAGGGCCTGTTGAGCTTCTTCGGAGAGATCTCATGGCTCGAATAATCACATTATTCCTGCCCACACGCAAAATACGCGCATAGACGTGGAGTTGCGGAAAACAGCCCGTCGTAAACTAAACTAAAACTAAACTAGGCGGAACATCAACTTCTGTTACGCTTGACACTTCAGGCGTGTCATGAAATATTTGTTCGCCGCCACAGCTTAAAGTTGTCGAAAATCGGTGCCGCAACGAATCGGTTAAATACATTTAAATAAAAATGTAAAAAGCAGACGTCTGTACATTTTATATTTTTGTAATAAAAGTGATTGAGAAGTACTAAAAATAAGTAACTAAATACATTTCTACCATTTTTAGAATTTTCTGTCTGTCTGTTTCTTAACGTATCACGTATAAAGTACTAATTTATATCAAAGACTCGTCAAGGAAATTATAAAGAGTATCTACGTGTTACATTTAGTCTTTATTTTATTAAAATCAGTTCATTCCATCTAAAGTTATGCCAAATAAAGGAGTATGGGTGCAAAGTATAGGTACGAATTTGTTCAACGGTGGCGATTGGTTGAGTCATTAAGTGCGTTTTAAACTAATATCATACAGTAAATCATACTTAAATGATGTAAAATTATGTTCTATAATTATATTATTATATCTAAAACGCGTTAAACAAAAGTATTAAAGAACGTAATAAATTACGCATAAAAAAAATGCAAACCAATTCCTATATTTGCAGCTAAAGATTTCCTTATTTGCGGTTCTAATTGGTACATACATACTAATGAAAATTGTTTTAATAGATATTCAACCTAATATTTTTTGTAAACCCGTCGTCAAAAGGACTAATAAAACAGTAAAATATACAGACCTTATTACAACTATGCCTAAAGTATGTTGTTAAAGGATATGGCGGTTTATGTCAAAGGCGGTTTATGGCCGAACCAATACAGGTTCGGCCTTTGACATAAGCCGCCATCGCCACAGTCGGTGTTTTTGAGAATGTAAACAAACAGAAGGAAAGCAACCTTATTACTCAATGCATAAAGTTTTTTTTTAAATGCTGCCACATATTAGACATTCCATCCTTTGGTAAGATCCGCTTTGCGTGTTTTATTGTTTCATCTTTCCATTTGTTACAAAAATTATGATCGAGTAACAAGTCTCTACTGCTGTTTTCCTAATTTATAATGTCGACTAAAAGAAATGAAAAACGAGTTTCAACACGAAAAAAATCTGTGTTACCGTTAAAAGTGAAAATAGAAATGCTTGATCGTTTACGCCTTAAAGATTCCTTTGCATCCATATCACGCTCATTTAATTGTCAACGAATCAACTGCACGAACAATTAAAAACTCCTAAAATAAAATAAGGTTGTCTGTAGCTTCAACTTCACTGTCAACGAAAATAGTTCGTAATAACAACAACGTAAATAGAAAAAATGGAAATGGCATTGTTATTATGGATCCAAGACCGCAACTAAAAAAGGGTGCCCCTGAGTGGTCCAATGGTCTCGGAGAAGGCAAAGCGTCTTTACGCACATTTTAAAGAACCTGGTGGTAGTTGTGGTGGTGAATGTACAGATGGAGGATTTCAAGCATCAGAAGGTTGGTTGAATAAATTTAAGTAGAGACAATCATTGCATAGCATTAAAATCGTTGGAGAAGCTGCATCTGCAGACAATGCCGCAGCAGAAACATATCCAGAAGAATTTGCAAACCTAGCTGATGGAGGATACAAACCTGAGCAAGTATTTAATGCAGATGAAACTGCATTGTTTTGGAAGAGAATGCCAAACAAAACATTCATTTCTAAAAGCGAAAAGTCTGCCCTAGGATTTAAGGCAGCAAAGGATAGAGTTACACTGCTGCATGTTCTAATGCATCTGGAGATTGTTTCAATAAACCACTGATGCTTTACAGATCATTAAATCCTCATGCTTTAAAAATCAAAACAAGGACGACCTGCCAGTGTTTTGGCATGCTAATAAGAAAGCGTGGGTTACAAGCGCTATTTTTTGTGACTGGTTTTAGAATTGTTTTGTTTCTGAAGTTGAATCTTATTTAAAAAAAGAAAATTAAGATTTTAAAGCAGTTCTAATTTTGGACAATGCACCAGGTCATCCTCGCAAACTTGAAACTATGCATCCAAATATAAAAGTCACATTTTTACCTCCCAACACAACGGCTTTGCTTTAACCTATGGACCAAGGAACTTTAAGATCTATTACATTAGACGAACCTTCAAAATCATATTGGATAATATGGAATGTGATCCTGATAAGAATGTTATGGAATGCTGGAAGAAATTTGACACAGCAAAATGCATCATAAACATAAAAGAATCATTGGACGAACTGAAGCCATACACATTGAAATCATGCTGGAAAAAACTGGGGCCTGCTCTGACTGTGGAAATTGACGAAGAATCTGTGCAAATTCAAACTTTGACTGCAAACATAGGTGAAATTGGACTGAATTAGAATAGGACGACATGGCTTCGAACACATATAATCAAGTGACATTCAGGAATTGCTTGAATCGCAAGATGAAGATTTGACTGAAACCGACTTGAAGGAAATGTTAAATTCACAGCCCATTGAAGAAGAGGCTTCAACAAGCACTGGAAACATGACATTTAATTTGTAAAATCTTAATTAAGGTTTAAGAATGGCAAATGAGCTTTGTGATTTTTTATGAAAATTGATCCGTCTATGGAACAAAGTCTTATGTTTAAGAGGCAAATTGCTAATGCCACTGCTGAATATCAGTCTGAATCGAAAGAGCTTTTATAAACTGCCTAGCAAGAAAAATTATAAAATTCTTTAAACCATTGCCTAAGCCTGAAGATCATAATTAATTAATATGGTCAAAAATTTCAATTAAATAGATTTTTTTTATTTTGTCACCTAGGAACATATTCCATATAAATTACCAATCCATATTCAAGGTTTCTGTATTCGCAGCATATGTACGGAACATATACTGTGCAAATAAAGAGCTTTTACTGAACAGTATTAATGTACTATAATTAAGACCCCAGGATACTAAAGCTAACCCAACTCAATAACTAAAATTTAGTCCAAGCCTGGATTCAAATTGGATTATGTACTATCCATATGATAAGATATGCAATTTTCCCTCAACTATTTTATGGAATTTGATAATATAAGCATCTTTTGTTCTCAAACTGTAAAATTAGACTTTACATATTAAATTTTAAGGAAATTTATCCTATATAATATAATCTACTTATTTTAGAAAAAGATCTCGTGTTTTTGGCATTATGTTTTAATGATTAATAATTTATAGAAATAAAGTCACTATTTGCTTATCATTATTTTAGTCTACAAATATAATATGCGTGAAAAATTTCTTACTTTTCTTTTTCTATAAGTAAAGTCTTGTCTCCCCACCCTCGTCGCGCTAAATGGTAGGCAACAGCAGCTCCCATAACTCCACCACCACATATTACAACCTTTGCTTTTGTCGGAAGAGCAGACAAACACCCACTTAGCGTCTCATGATGGTCTAAAACATCTAGACTAGATAACGATCTAGCTCCAACCCCTATACAGCTATAAACCTTATATTTATTAGCACCACCTCTAAATCGACCGGCTAGCATGGTAATGCGTTACTGCGCAGATACAGAACGCTACTTTAATGCTTCAAACTCCGTCAATAACTTTGTAACGTTCTCTTTGGTATTAAAAATCTAAAAATATTTATTGCAGAATATAGAATCAAAAGATTGTTTTGACATTTCACAGTTTTTTTTATAACTGGCTTTATTGCTCTGGGTTCTAGCTTTTCAGAGCCAGAAGTTACAATGTATAATTATCCTTCATAGTACACTGCTTCACAATATGTTGATGGGTTACATTGTGCAGCCCTTGGAAGATTTTGACGGCAATTTGAGCCAGCAGACAGCTGACAGTTGGCGATGGTATCTCAAGGCACCTAAGCAGACAGACACCTTATCACATCACCATCACCAACGGTGAAACAAGTGCTCTTGTTTCACCGTTTCAACTAATAGTTCACGTGCGCAGACAATACACAAAATCGCTTCAATGAGGGCATCCATGACTTTTTCTGCTACCAGGGCGGCGTCACTAGAAAGTGAGGTATAATATTTGACAGATTTCATAGCGGGGAAGTTAATTTGGTCGGAAAATGTAAAAGTTATTGTTTCTTTCTGTACTATTAGCTATATTTGAAATTAATCATATTAAAAATAAATAAACCAAACCACAGATATTCGTAAAAGTAGAAAAATTAAAAAAAGTTAAAAATGTGCAAAAAATTAAAGAACAAACCACTGACGCATTGTTTTGTGAATTAACATAATACTCTAGAAACTGATAAACTTTTATTAAAAAGCAATTTCTCAATTAAATTACACTGTGTAACAAAAAACTTTACCTCAGTGTCAATAGCGATATCTGGTGAGCAGAAAATTATTAGCCCTCATTTTACATATCAAAACCCACTTCAAACCATTATTTAAACAGTAATACAGGAGCAGCAAACCGCTGCCGGTCAAGTTCCCGCGAAAACCATATTTCACAGTTTCACACTAGCTTGCTACATATATATTTATCTATGGTTTCACACTCATAATCGCAGAGTACTTTTTATAACTCGAGCCGTGGTAGCTCAGATGGTTAGCGCTCGCTGCAAATGTCACAGTATGCGAGCAAACCTGGTTCGATCCCCGCCGGAACCAATAAAATTGTTAATTGTAATTTTAAGTGCTGATTTACCAAGGCTGTGTGGTGAAGGAAAACATCGTGAGGACACCTGCATGTCTGAGAAATAAGAAAAAATATTTCAAAGACATGTGAAGCTGCCAACACGCATTGGGGCAGCGCGGCGGATACTTCCTTGCTTTAAAACTCTCTCAGAAATGAGGGGAGGACTGTGCCTAGCAGTGGGACGTATATAGGCTTGTAATCATCGATATATATGTACTACGTACTAGATTTCGGATTCTGAATATACACTATGTTCAACTGAACTTTACTGCAATCCGTACAGTGTGTCATTTAGTGTGGTTTAAATCTACTAGTTAGTCTGTGGTTTCAATATACATGCAGTGTGCAAAGAGAATATAATCACTACGTTTAGCAGTGTGGAGCGGCGCTAATAATACAAGATTTCAAATTAAAGTTTAAATTTCTCCAGTGGAACTTCTCACTGTAATTGCCCAAAATTGCAAAGAACCCATACCATTAAATACTTGGGTATTCAAGTGGATAATTGTTTGAACTGGTATAGTCAAGTAGAATCCGTTGCAGGTCGGTTACGCAACTTAATCTATATCTTTAAAACATTACGTAGCTCCGCGGATGCCAACATCCTGTCACCTGTTTACACCGCCCTTTGTGAATCATAACATACTGCATCCCGATATGGGGTTGTGCCTCCAAGACTACCATCATTAAAATTGAGCGCGCACAGAGGGTAGTACTAAAGGTTATGCATAGGCGGCCTTGGAGATACCCGACCACACAACTTTATATGGATTGTAATGTACCTACAGTTAGGCAACTTTACATCCTTCGCATCATTCTGCGTCTACATTCAACTGTACCTCCAAATAGTTCTTCCACGCCAAGGAGGCATCAAAAAGCTGCATGTCCTGTCAAACATGTAGGACTTCTTTTGCTAAAAAGCAATTATCCTTCTCAAGCTCGCGGTTATACAATAAACTCGACAAAAAGTTACAGATAAATAAGTTCAATGCCTATGAAGTAAAAAAAAGGTAATTTCGTACCTTCATGAATTAAATTATAATGCCACTGAAGCTTTAATATCCTAAACCTACTAATTGTACCCACTAACACGCATACAAGACACGCAATCACTTTCACACATACACACACACATACACACACACACACACACACACACACACACACACACACACACGCGCGCGCACACACACACACACACACACACACACACACACATTATGCTATACATATCCATCACCGAACTATTATTATTCTTTAACTGCCTTTTCTTAAACTTCTTACTATAATGTAATCACCAATTAAATCAACCCGCTATGCTGTTTTAAAGAATATCTTATAAAGAGCCGAACCATTGACTTTCATAACACAGGTTACCCTAGCATGAAAGTCAGGAGATCAACTTATTTCTGTCATTTAGGCTAGCCATCTTCTTACAATTTATCTACAATAACTTTGTATTAAGTTTAAGGCTTTATTTGTCAATAAAAATTATTATTATTATTATTAAATTAAAAACTGACCGCACAGGCGCAACGCAAAAAAAATCAACTACTATTTCCTGCGTATGCGCGAAGACATAGAGTAGTGCAAATTTTTTGTTAAGAATGGCTTCTCTAGTTTGCAGATGCGTTGCCGGCCTTTTAAAAAGAAATAGGCTCTTTTCTTGAAGGTCCCTAAGTCCTATCGGTCCGGAAAAATCGCTGATGGTAATCGATTCCACAAGAAAGTCGTGCGAGGAAGAAAACGTCTTCTAAATCGCACAGTGGTGGACCGCCAATCATCCAGATGGTGTGGTTGGTATCGGGAGTTCTGCCGCGATGTGCGTTCGTGAAATTTGGTGGCTGGGATTAATCCGAACAATTCCTCAGAGCACTCCCCGTGGTAGATGAGAAAGAAAATGCAAAGGGATGCAACATCTCTTCGCAGTGCCAATGAATCGAGCCGATTGGAAAGGACTCGGTCGTCGACGATTCGAGCCGCTCTGCGCTGGATGCGGTCAAGTGGAAGGAGCTGGCAGTGGGGAGCCCCTGCCCAGAGATTGGAACAGTATTCCATGTGAGGCCGAACCTGAGCCTTGTAAAGTTGCAGGCGGTGTGCCGGCGTGAAATACTGTCCCACTTTGCTGGGCACGCCAAGCTTTTTAGAGGCCAATTTGGCCTTCTTTTCTAAGTGACCACGAAACTGCACGTCACTCGATATGTCGACTCCGAGGATACCGATACTGGCTGAGGCAAGAAGGGGAGTGCCTTGAAACTGAGGAGATACGACAATGGGGTTCTTTTTAGTGGTAAACGCGCAAACTTGTGTCTTCTGAGGATTAAACTGGACTAAATTTAGTCGCCCCAAATCTAAGACTTTGTTCAGCAAAGACTCGACTTCAGACACAAGTTTGTTCCGGTACTCAGCGACGTTTTCCCGAGAAATATTGGCACGGCTGGTGTATAAAGCACCACCAGTGCAGAAACAGCGTTGGTGATAGCACACAGCCTTGTGGAACACCAGCGTTAATATGCTTGTAGTTAGAGCATGCACCGTCTACAACGACCTTGATGTTCCGATCTGCAAGGAAGCTGGTGATCCAATTGCACAATTTCTCGGGAAGCCCATAGGAAGGGAGCTTTGAAAGAAGCGCTTTGTGCCAAACCCGATCGAAGACCTTCGCAATGTCCAAACTAACGGCCAACGCCTCCCCCTTGGACTCTACTGCCTCCACCCATCTATGGGTCAGGTTGACCAGAAGATCACCAGCTGATCGACCCCGACGAAAACCGTATTGGCGGTCACTAATCAACTGGTGATCCTCAAGGTACCGCATGAGCTGGCAGTTAATAATGGATTCCATTATCTTGGAGAAAAAGGAGGTAATGGCGATAGGCCTATAGTTGGACGGGTCTGAGCGGTCGCCTTTTTTAGGGATCTGGTGGACAAAAGCTGTCTTCCATGAATTCGGGACTACGCCTTGGGAGTAGGAGTACCGGAAAAGACGCGTTAGGACCGATGCCATCTCCAGAGCACACGTCCTCAGCACAATTGGGGGGATTCCGTCAGGCCCACTCGACTTCTGGATGTCCAGGAGGAGTGCTTTGCGAACCGAGCGCTGTGAGAACAGCACATCCGGCATGGAGCACTCACACCGCGGGATGGTCGGCGGTGTTTTCCCCCCATCATCAAGAGTCGAGTTGGACGCAAAAAGGGAGCCTAAAAGGTCGGCTTTGTCTTATGCGGCTTGGGCCAGTGAGTCGTCCTCCCTGTGCAGAGATGGTAGTGATGGCTTACAGAAATTCCCTTGGACAGCCTTGGCGAGAGACCAGAGTGCACGGGTTCCCGAAGGAAGGCGAACTAGTTTCTCGCCAATTCTGCCTACGTGCTCTGATTTTGCCTTGGCAATAACTTTTTTGAAGGACCAGGAGGCGAAGTTATACATCTTTATAAGTGTGCTGGTGTTTACATCCCGAGTCGCCGAAGCCGCAGCCCAGGCTTGATAACACTCCTGCTTACTGCGCAATGCAGTCTTACAGGAGCGACCAAACCAAGGCTGAGATCTGCCTCCGATGGGTACCACAGATGATGGAATAAATAGTTCCATTGCTTGTAGCACATCAGTGACAGAGTCAGCAACAGCGCTGGGATCATCCGGCGAGAAGTAAACCCGCCTCCATGGGTAGGATGCAGAGAAAGATCGCATTCCGTCCCAATCCGCTGACCTGTAATGCCAAACACGGCGGCACCCTGCAGAACGCAACCGCGAGGGGAGCGTGAGTGGCACTACACTCCGGATCAGACAATGGTCCGAAGAGCCGAGAGGGGCATCGACGGAAACCTTACATCCCTCCGGATGAGAGGTCAGCAGAAGGTCCAACAGGGA